GGTGCCGGCCCTCGCTGACCTCTGCCTTCCCTCCCTCCAGGTAGCCCGGGCGAGGCCCTTCTCCTGGGGCCCCTGCGCGGCTGCCCTGCGGCCCCCTGCTGCCGCCGGCGGGAGGCGATGCGCGGCTCAGGCAGAGCTGCCCCGGCCCCGGCTCCTCTTCAGCACCAGTAAGTCAGCGCCGCCTCTGCCCGCCCTGGCGCATGGCAGGCACGCGGGTGCCTCCCGAACAGCCTGACCGTGTAGCTGGGAGCAGACCCCTGGGGCTTGTGGATCACAGGCCTGTAAAATCCGGCCCCCACCCCCTTTCCTTCTCTGTAAAGTCTCAACTGGGAAGGCAGCCCTTCCTCATACTGATGTGGTGTAAGAAGGTGACCTCTTGTTGTGGATGATGAGCAGGATAGAGTTGGACTGAAATACTCTTGGAGCAGTAACGTCCCTTGCTGAGCTGCAGCCAATCTGCAGTTTCTCAGTCTGGAAATGTTAAACTTTGGATAATATGCAGGCAAAGTGACTGAAGTTTTTCTTTTTGCAGGATTGAGTTGGAAAGCAGAGGCTTCTAAAATGTCACTTTTGTACATTATCTTTGCTTCTCCAACCTGTAACACACTTTCCCCTTCTCCCTGCTACTGCTATAACATAAAAAGGCAAAAAAAAAAAATTATTCTTATAATAAGCACAAGTAAATATATTCCTATTACATTATGGTGGATCTTGAACCTCATGGCTCACTAAATGAAAGTAGATTCAAAATTGTGAGACATTCTTATATACTACTCTAGGTGATTAACTTATTTAATAATTTAGAAGTATCTGTGTCGGTTACATACATCGTGCTCCCTTAGACATTCTTATATACTACTCTAGGTGACTAACTTACTTAATAATTTAGAAGTATCTGTGTCAGTTACATACATCATGCTCCCTCGCTGTGGCTCTTAACCCTTCCAGAAAAATGTACCGCTTTCAAAGATCTGATTTGTTTTGTGTACTCACAGGTAAAACTGAAAAACTTACCAAATCAGACATAAAAATACGGAAAGTATCACATCATGCTATTACTGAAAAAATTGTTTACTTTCTTATTTTTACCATATCATTATAAAATCAATTGAAATATAAGCATTGCACTTCCATTTCAGTGTATAGTATACAAACTAGTATAAAATCATTGCCTATACAATTTTAGTTTGTACTGATTTTGCTGGTGCCTTTTATGTAGTCTGTTGTAAAACTAGTCAGATATCTAAGTGAGTTGATGTACTCCCTGGAAGACTTCTGAGTACTCCTAGTTGAGAACCACTTGCTTACAGTATGATTCATTTTTTCTAGGTTCCTCAAGGTTTGTTCCTGCTGTTACCCAACATGCTCCACATTTTAAAGGAACAGCAGTTGTCAATGGAGAGTTCAAAGAATTGACATTAGATGACTTTAAGGGGAAATATCTGGTACTTTTCTTCTACCCTTTGGATTTGTGAGTGTAACTTTTTTTTAAACAAAATACTATCTAGACACCTTTCAGAGGAGTAGCAATGTTAGTCTGTTTCAGCAAAAACACTGAGGATTCTGTGGAACCCATGAAAGCTTATACCCAAATGAATGCATTAGTCTTTAAAGTACCACAGGACTCCTTGTTCTTTTATCTAGGCTCCCACTTAATCAGACAGAAACAGCATGTGGTGGGTTTCTATCTCCATTAACATTTCATTTGGCCTTGTCCTGGCTATCCTTGTCAAGCAGAAAGCATGTCTGTTTGAATGATAAAATTCAGGGAGAAACTTAAAAAATGACTAGTCTTGCAGCACCTTAGAGACTAACAAAAATGTAGATGGTATCATGAGGTTTTGAAGGCACAACCCACTTCTTCTGATGGCTACCCCTTTAAAATATTTGGGGAGGAGATAGTTTCATTCTTCAGCAATAGTTTTGTTGGCTTATTTTGAGGTAAAGCAGAGAACAGATTCTTTGGTCTCTGGGGGGCCTCCAGTGCTTCAGAATCTAATTGGTTCCTCTGCAGAGAGGGATCCAGGTTGCAAAGAGACTATCCCTGAGAACTTATCTGTTTGTGTACCGTGGAGTTCTAAGTCACCAGGAAGGCAAAACTGGTGGAATTGTGATTAAGCAGTTCTAATAAACCAGAAGCTGTTTAGAATGGGAATCCTGATCCCATATTAGTAGCTGGGAGAGGATTCCATTTTCCATTCTTCCATCCATGCTCCTCTAATTAGGGATATAATAGTGTAGTCGATTAACCAATAAGCATAGCTTATCGGTTAATACTATAGATTACATGCATTTCCTTCTCTCCTTGCCCACTTGCCAGTAAATTTTTCAGCAGGCTGGCCAGCAGGTCTGGGACCTACCTGTGCTGTGGGTCTGCATTTAAATGTATTAGGAGCTGGATGGGCAGGCATCCCAGCTCAGTTTTGGCTTGTCAGATCTGGGAGCCCAGGACCCTATCCCCAGACAGGGGCTGCTGCTACCTTTATCATCTGGCACCCCACCGAGGCAGCAGTGTGGAGTGACAGAGCTCTTTTGGAGTGAGGATGGAGCACACTGGCTACTGGCCCTGCTCCCGGGGACTAATAGTCAACTAACTGATAAGAATTCATGAGGTTACTTGACTATTCAACTAATTGATATTTAACATCCCTACCTCTAATGAAGAACTTTTCTTCAAAATCTGTTCACTAAGCACTAGTACAGGGGTTGGTAATAAAATGGCATTGATTCGCCAGGGCTGCCACCACTTTATTTACTGGTGCCTCTGCAAGTACCAATGATCATTCAACTAATTGATATTTAACATCCCTACCTCTAATGAAGAACTTTTCTTCAAAATCTGTTCACTAAGCACTAGTACAGGGGTCGGCAATAAAATGGCATCGATTCGCCAGGGATAGCCCTGGCTGCCACCACTTTATTTACCGGTGCCTCTGCAAGTACCAATGATGACAGGTCATATTGGTCACAGATTGCCATTCCCATCCGGTGGGAGTGGTGAGAAGTAGCAGAGACTGGGCACAGTGCTTCCCACAGCTCCCATTGGCCAGGGACACACAAAAATCAGTGTACTATTTTACTGCATTGCAGCCTCTGTTTTTGTCAGACTTGTTGAAACTGATTCAGCTACTTAAAAACTTGAATGAGTGATGAAACAGAACTGTAAAACATGCTGTATAAGTAACACAGTAGTATGTTTTGTGCCTGGAAACAAATGTTTCCTCACTCTCTTTTAAAGTTTGTGTGTGAAGCTTAAGTTTAGAATAATTACAACTTACGTTCTAACTTTTGTTTACTGTCTGCCTCTTCCCACCCAGCACTTTTGTATGCCCAACAGAAATTGTGGCTTTCAGTGACAAAGCTAATGAATTTCATGATGTGAACTGTGAGGTCGTTGCTGTATCTGTGGATTCTCACTTTTGTCATCTGGCCTGGATAAACACACCACGAAAGGTATGAAGCAGTGCTGCGGAGTGTGATAGAGAAGTTAAGTGTACAGTCCTATAAATGTTTGCCTTCAACAGGACCACTTCAGCTAGAATTCAACTCTGCAGACCCTTACTATCAAGCATAAATTTCCTCTCTCCTTTTTTAATAATCTTTCTCTAATTAAACACAAGTACACACAGAGGTATTTCCTAAATATTCAACTTTCATACATTTTTACAGTAGTTTATTTTAAAATTAAAGAGCATTTGAGAAATGAAGCTGAGATAGAGCTCAACATTCCCTGTAGCCTTTTCCATCCATGTGTGCACCACTAGTAGAAACAAAAAAAAACCTAGCTGTGGACGACCACTAGTAGAAACAAAAAAAACCTAGCTGTGGACACTCTGCCAATCAGTTGGGTGTCATTGAAATCTTTCCAGAGTGGCTGCATAAGCACACAGTTTTTAGGGAACACTGGTGGGGGTAGGACAGGCCTAAAAATAGTAGACACAAAGGAATTACCTGCATGTTACATTTGATAGCTTTTCTATGTTATTTATATATAACATGAGATCTAATTTTAAGTATTAAACTTTGAAGCACTATGTTCCCCATCCGGTTGTTTTAAAATAAAAAATGCAGAGACAGATAGTGGATCAAAAGTATAAGGTCAAAAACTTCTTTGCTGTTTTTAGCCAATAGCTAAATTCTGTGTTTAAAGTAATAACACAACCAGATACTTTGCTTTGCTGTCTAGTATGTGTCTTAGTACTCTTGAAACTTACACAGTATGATTAAATGTTAACTTCTGAGTAAAACATATAATGCATATTCTGTTTATAAGATGCTTTAAAGGTAATTATTGTGATCTTATACATAAAATGTAATTACATATCTCTGCTGTGTATGTGTAACTAGTAAGTAGTTAATCAGTAGCTAACTATGACAACTTTTTTCTGATTTAATTGAAACAAAGAATAATAGACATGTTAGGGGACTTATAGCATCAGCTGAAAGCTTCAGAAATTCCTAACGACTTTTAAAACATACAGAAAAGCTTAAAACTTCTTGTGTAATAAGATGGTGCACCTAACCCTTTGAGAGAAGAGGGAAGTACTAGAGAGAATTTGTTCTTACCGTCAGATCTCTTTAAATTAAGTAGTGCCAAAATGTTGTTGGTTTTCCATCAGTAACCAAACTAGAAAATCTAATGGAACACTTAAACAAAAAAAGCTCATATCCAACATGATCAGTTGTTGCTAATATGATTAGGTGGAAATGATTCATTGTGTTCATATTTTCCCTAACAAAAATGTGCATAGGTCAAATCAAGACCAGGCTAGGGCTATTGATATTTGCAGATTCATGGGAAGGACCTCCAGTTGGTGATTTTTTTTTTTGTTTGTTGGTAGTAGCTTCCTATTCTGCATAATTTTGTTAGTCTGTCTGCCTAATACACTTTTATGCAAAACTTTGGCTTGGGCAAATCATTTTGTATTCATATTAAACAAAGTTGGAGCAAAACTCCAAAGTGTGAATATTGGTTTCAATTTATAACTTTACATGGGTATAATAATACTTGGCACCTGCTTTATCCATAGGTCTCAAAGCATTCTAAAAAGGCAGGAAAGTTTTCTTCCCCTAGTACATTTGAGAGAAACTGACACTCAGAGAAAGAAAGGCCTTGTTTTCTTTAATGTTTAGATGACTAAAGTTATTCACATGTGTGAGTCGTTGTCATAGATAGGACTGTGCTGAATCAGAGTCTAAGAGATTGTCCAAGGTTGCACGGCGGTTCATTGACAGTGCCAGAAATAGAAAAGCTAACAGACGCATCAGTCTCGTTTCAAGGGTAGTTTATCAAAATATTGAAGAACTCAGTACACACTCTTATTCGACTGCCCACATATAGGAAAATATGTGCTTTAAATACTGAATCTATTTTAACAAAGGCTCAAGAATGAAAGTTTTATCAGTGCTGTGACTCCTGAAAGGAAAGCCTTGTAGGCATTGTGTGGTGCAGCAAAAATAAAAAAGTAGGCATTCAGTTTTCCTTCTTCTTATGCTCAGACTTACCCTTTTATTACTTATTTCTACTAGAGTGGTGGTTTGGGCCATATGAATATCCCACTTTTGTCAGATCTGACAAAGCAAATCTCCCGAGATTATGGCGTGCTGTTAGAAGGACCTGGTTTAGCACTAAGGTAGGACCTTGTTCTCTGGTAACCTTTACTGTTCTCTAGTTACTGTACTTCCTTCAAAAATCTGTGCAAGGGAGAAACCTGTCTTGTCAAACTCTGGCTCATTTGGCAATTTCTGCAGTGTTATTGTAGAAGGTGGGGGGAAGGGTATATGTCCTTATGGGGAGTCTAGGCGTGAAGCCACTGGAACTAATCTGTTCAGCAACCCGGGTGGAGAAAGGATGTTCTGTTATGTTCTTGACACTCTCCTAATTCAGCCTGGGCTTCTGCCAACACTTGCTCTCTTCCCTATCTCTGTGGAAGAGGAAGAGAAGCTAGAATAGTACTAATGTCTATGCAGATCTCCCATTTAATTTTGAGGAGGTCAAGCAACAGAAAGTCCAATCTCCCCTTCTTGAATGCCCCAGATTTTAACTGTGTGTTTGGCACAGCACGATAACCCACCTGATGGCAAGGAAGACAGCATGCTACTTGGCTCCACTTTGTATTTCTCTGCTCTGTGGACTGAAACACTTCCAGCCCATCTCTATTTGAGGAAGTAGGAGTTGTATTTCTCATTAATATAAAGTAATAGAGAACAATAGTAATTCCAGAGCACTCTTTAACTCTGCTTCCATAACCTTTTTGTTTAAAAAAAATGGCTCAACCTTTTCATCTGAGTTATTTGCTAAGAAGGAACTTGAATATTTTTTACCAAATCTAATTAACTCAACAGCTTTAGTAGGTCAAGGGTGTGATTGAGACGTTCTTTTAAATGCATAATCAGCTATCCTTGCAACTAGGAATTAGTCTGAATCCTGTATTCTATGCGTATACAAGATTCAAAGTAGCACCTTCAGTGGATTCTGGAGTACCTCAAAATAGTAGGAAGAAATGCTTTCAGCACCTGGAAAACTTGGGTGGGATTAATGCTCTTTTTGTGATCAGCACCTTCAGTTCTGACTATTGTTGCTACTTCTTCTTAACTATTCTATGGTGCAAAAGTATGCATATTAGCAAGTATTGTAGAAATGTTTTAAGTCCCTGTTCCATACACAATAGTATAAGTGATTTACAATACCTCTTTGAAATAGAATTCAGCCTGCATAAAGAGCAAGATACCCAAGTCATATGTCAGAGGTTCATATAGTCTTTGTTCATATACAGAGGTCTCTTCATTATTGATCCTAATGGAGTCATCAAACATCTGAGTGTCAATGATCTCCCAGTTGGCCGCAGTGTGGAAGAGACCCTTCGATTGGTGAAGGCATTCCAGTACGTGGAAACTCATGGAGAGGTTTGCCCAGCAAACTGGACTCCAGAGTCCCCTACGGTACGTGTTGATTAAACATCACCATCCAGAATATGAACCCAATCCTGGAAAATGAGCACCTTTTTGCATGGAAAAGTGTGAAGGCTGGGCATTATAGTATAGAAGAACTTGTGAACTTAAATCTTTAAGTTTTCACCATATGAATTGTTGCCCTCAGTCTGAATCACTTAATGTGCATTCACAGTGCTAGAAGTCACATGCAGAGAAAATATCCACATTATATTCTTTTGAGAGTACAAAGTCCCTCCACACATGAGTACACATGGTATTCACTTGCTTCCCTTATTAACAATCATGGATAGTCTTGATTTGCCTTGTATTTTGTATCAGTTTAAATTAGGGCTGTCAAACTATTTTAAAAATTGCAATTAATTGCAAGATTTAAAAAAAGTTGTAATTAATCACAGATTTAACTGCACTGTCAAACAATAATAGAATACCAATTTAAATGTATTATAAATATTTTGGATGTTTTTCTACATTTTTCAAATACATTTATTTCAATTACAAAACCAAATATAAAGTAAACGCTGCTCGCTTTCTATTATTTTTATTACAAATATTTGCACTGTAAAAAAAAATCTACAAGTTGAAGCACGAAGGGACATACAAATGTTTGGAATATCTGGCATGGAAAAACCTTGCAATGCTAGCTACAACATTGTCTGCAAATATCTGTTCTCACTTTGTAAATAAGAAGCAGGCAGCATTATCTCCTGTAAAGGTATAAAAATCTTGCTTGTCTTAGTGACTGGCAAAAAAAGAAATAGGATTAACTGGGCTCAAAAGTTTTACATTATTTTCTTTTTGAGTAAAGTTTATGTGGAAAAAAATTACATTTATAAATTGCATTTATACTATAGAGAGATTGTACTACAATACTTGTAGGCTACGTCTAGACTGGCATCATTTTCCGGAAATGCTTTTAACGGAAAAGTTTTCCGTTAAAAGCATTTTCGGAACAGAGCATCTAGATTGGCACGGACGCTTTTCCATAAAAGCACTTTTTGCGGAAAAGCGTCCGTGCCAATCTAGACGCACTTTTACACAAAAAAGCCCCGATCGCCATTTTCGCGATTGGGGCTTTTTTGCGGAAAACAAATCTGAGCTGTCTACACTGGCCCTTTTGCGCAAAAGCTTTGCACAAAAGGACTTTTGCCCGAACAGGAGCAGCATAGTATTTCCGCAAGAACACTGATAATCTTACATGAGATCGTCAGTGCTTTTGAGGAAATTCAAGCGGCCATTGTAGACAGCTGGCAAGTTTTTCCGGAAAAGCGGCTGATTTTCCGGAAAAACTGGCCAGGCTAGACACAGCCCTAGTGTATGTGGTGAATTGAAAAATACTATTTCTTTTGCTTCTTTTCTACAGTGCAAGTATTTGTAATAAATAACAAAGTAAGCACTGTACACATTGTGTTCTGTGTTGTAATTGAAATCAATGTATTCGAAAATGTAGAAAAAACAAATATTGATTATACATTTAAATTGATATTCTGTCATTACAGTGTGATTAAAACTGTGATGACCCTCATTTAAATACCTTGCAGTTAAATATTTTTCCTTTTTTTTTTTTCTTAAGATTAAAATTAAAATTTGCAGGTGAGAAGTTTGCACTTGTGTTAAAATATTTGTGTACATTGCTTCTCATGAGTGAGTGGACAAACAGAAATAATTGTGTGGTTTAGTAACATAGCATACCCAATATTCCTAAATGGAGTCTTAAATCTAAAGCCATAATTTTTATTTTATACACTTTGTGCATATACCAACTTGTATAAAACTGTTATCTCTTTGTTTACAGATCAAGCCAAGTCCAGAAGCTTCTAAGGAGTACTTTGAGAAAGTTCATAAATAGATCATCAATGCAGATAGGTGGCAATTTCCTAAGGAAGCAGCCATAATTGCATTTAAGTGCAATTTCTTTTTTTTTGTGTGTGTCAGGAAAAATTGTTAAATGCTGAAACATTAAATATTTACTAAATCAGAAAGTTTTAAATCATATTCTTGGAGCTGTTTCCCCCCACCCCCTCCCAAAGAGACTATACTGCATTCCCATATATATATATCTCTGTAATCAGCTATTCTCTTGTGTCTCCCACATGTACTATGAATGCTTGTGACTTTGGGTGTACAGGAGTACTGGTCTCTCCTCCCCTTCATCGAATCATAAGCAATAGAAATGGTACCAGGCTTTCTATGCGCACACGAAAATTGGACGATAGACTGTTATTTCTGAGAGCTTGAAATACTGAGCTTAAAGTGGGTGATACAGAGAAATATCCAGAACATGGTTTCCTTTAATTTGCCAGTAGCTGTTTAGGCAGGGATAGAGGAATTCCTTCTTGTACAAATTATGCTCGTGTTTTTTCCCCAAATGCTTCCACATGTAAACGTGATTTGAAGGTAGAAGTAACAAACATCCACAGTCGTTCAGCTAAGATATATTGGAATATAGAACATTAAATGGAGAATAACTGCATTTCGTTGAGAAATCGGTGGGAATGTGAACTTAACTCTAATCGTGGTACACTTATTGGGGCTTAATTATTATTTTTGCCTTTTGAAATAGTTGATCACACATTTTAATTGTTGCTCTAAATGCAGATTTCCAAATATTGTGGAGCTTGATGTGTAATCATGTAGGAAGACTAATTGATTGTTTAGGATTTAATAAGGCTTCCTTCTGATATTATTTTGAGCACATATTTTTTCTTAAACTATGAAATCATCAATAAATTGATCTTAAAGCATGTTGTCTACAATGTTCTAACTACCTTATAATTTGGATGCTCTTGCTCATCTGTTTCTAGAGACTGGGTGTCTTGTTGCATTAAGTTTCTCTCATAATGCCACCTACTACCACTTAAAAGCTGCTAAGTGGCTACAGATGAATGCAGAAGAAACTGGACCATGTGTGTGCAAAAGGGAGCAAAGGAAGGACTGGATAAGTGAAAGCTCCTTGAAATCTGGAATAAACAAAATCTATCTTTCTGCTAGCAGAGATAGAGGAAAGAATGAAGGATATCTAGACTAGTTAGTTCTTTGATAGTCGATCTAAGAAAATAGTGCCCTAAAACGTAATTGACTAATCTGTCAAAATGCTACAGTTATAAATGAAGGACTCCTTCTGTATAATGCAAGAGCATGTAAAATATTCATTTAGGCCAAGTGACCCGAAGAGAGTGACTGAGCTCTTAGAGCTATATACCTACCAAAATATTTTTGATTCTGCCAATCCCCATAAGAACGGCCGTACTGGGTCTGACCAAAGGGCCATCTAGCCCAGTAGCCTGTCTGCCAACAGTGGCCAGCACCAGGGCTACGTCTAGATTACATCCCTTTTTCGTAAAAGGGATGCAAATTAGACGTATCGCAATTGCAAATGAAGCAGGGATTTAAATCTCCCCCACTTCATTAGTATACAAATGACTGCCGCTTTTTTTCGGCACGGAGTTTTGCTGGAAAAAAGCGCCAGTCTAGACGCTGATCTTGTGGAAAATAAAGCCTTTTCCGAAAGATCCCTTATCCCTCTTAAAATAAGGGATAAGGGATCTTTCGGAAAAGGCTTTATTTTCCGAAAGATCCGCGTCTAGACTGGCACTTTTTTCCCGCAAAACTCCGTGTCAAAAAAAAGCAGCAGACATTTTTATGCTAATTAAGTGGGGGAGATTTAAATCCCCGCTTCATTTGCAATTGCGATACATCTAATTTGCATCCCTTTTACGAAAAAGGGATGTAATCTAGACGTAGCCCAGGTGCTGGCCACTGTTGGCAGACAGGCTACTGGGCTAGATGGACCTTTGGTCTGACCCAGTACGGCCGTTCTTATATTCTTAGCTCAGGGTCAGGGGTCTCACTGGACCAACTTGATTTTCATGCAAGACTGCTCCTGGGTTTGCATGTGGCATCTGGTGGCCAGGCTGGCAGCTATGCGGCTGTAGACGGCCGCGTTCCTGTGGCTAGTGCGGAGATCGTGGATGTTGGAGGCCTCCCCCCAAACCTCGATGAGGTCCACGATCTCCGCACTAGACCAGG